CCTCCTCCAGCCTGTCCGGAGGAACGCCAAGGCATTCCCAGGCCAGCCAAGTGATATAATCTCTCTAGCGAGTCCTGGGCCTGACCCGGGGTCTCCTCCCGGTGGGACATGCCCGAAACACCTCACCCAGGAGGCATCCTTGTCAGGTGCCCGAACCACCTCAACAGGCTCCTTTCAATGTGGAGGAGTAGCAGTTCTACTCTGACCCCCTCCCAGACTGCCGAACTCCTCACCCTCTCTCTCAGGGGGAGGCCAGCCACCCCTCAGAGAAGGCTCATTTTCACTGTGTGTATCTGCGATTTCATGACTATGATAACTAATGATAAACATTTTCAATATTAGTTCGCTTATATGAGGGACCCACATGTTTCATTCATTTGCTGTGGTATGCTGCTTCATCAGTGTCCATTATAAAGTCAGCATTAAAAAGACAAACAGCTGAGTAACTCCAAACATCTGGAATCTATTGTACTGACTGTAGAAACTTAACAGTTGGTGAGAAAAATCAGATAAACAGTCTGAATAACTGAAGCCTCACTTACACACGTCTATGTTGTCCTGTAGGTACCGCACACATGCTCATTTTATCCATGATAGGTATCTGACACTGAACCTACTGTTATACCTAAAACACTATGATCTTCTCTAGATACTATACTAGGACTTACATTTACACTGACACTGCTTTCTTTATAATAACAATTTTTTTGCACTTTTCTGGGATGATAATGGATGGAGAGTATCTCCACATACATTGTAAAGGGTCAGGTTGCTTATTATTTTACTTGTTCTTCACCGTTTTTCCAGCATCTGACTGGGACAGACTGCCAGACTGGTTCAATTACTGCCAGTTAAGTCTGCCTACAGACAGAAGACAGTGCAGCGGTAAGACAGCTCATTACGACTAACCCACTGAACTTCATCACAGTCTTTCTGACCCACAGTTTGTTAGAAAAAAAGTTTTCAGACTGGTTGTCATGGCAACACAGTCGAGCAGCAATCTCCAGGGATGAAAAATGAAGCCTGCTTGGAAGTGGTGAAAACTGCAATCCCTAAAATGACCACTTGAGACAGACTCCCATGCTGTAACGCCCAAACCTAATGACTCATAATGACTGTTTTTCCACTGCAAGGCTCAGCCTCACAGCAGAACCATACTTGCCAATCT